CATGCCCCATACAGGATGCTTTCTGGCCCACCCACCCCCTTCTCTCTGGCAAGTGCACCTGCCTTCTGGCAAAACTAAGAAAAAGAAAAAGTGGGGGATTGGGCCTGCTGCCTAGTAGTTAATGAAGTTGGATACCACATGGCCAACCATGATTAGAGCCCCAGTCCTGGAGGCTTGAAAAACATGCTGGGCATGCCCACAGTCCCAGTGGAAGGAGATGGAAGAGAGATTACAGCATGACCACACCCCATTGAAGAGTGCTTTCTCGCTCTCCCTTTTTCTCTCTCTCTGTCATTCTCTGGCAAACACATGCGTCTCTAGCAATTAGAAAAAAAAAAAAGGACATACACAGCATTATTCATAAACTATTTTGCCAAAAATATTTAACCTGAATCTAACCAAGTCTTTAGATCTACGTTCCAGTTTCTAGGAAAACAGTAGTTAAAGGAACATGGTAAATAACTCCATGAGAAAACATTAAGACAAACACAGAATGTGGGATATTCGCAAGTCAATATCCAAAAAGAAAGAGTGGAAGAATGATTCCAGAAGAGAGAAATTATTATTGAGACATAAGCAAATGCAGTATATGAACTCTGATCAGACTCTGGTCCCAAAAACATAAAGACATCTTGAAAATCAATTAGGGAAGCTTGAATAAATAAGAACTGGATAATTGATAATACAAGAGAATTAATTTTTTTAGTTGTGGGGCCAGCAGGTGGCGTGGTTGTTAAAGGCACTGAACTCCCACATGGCCAACTGAGGTTTAAGTCCTGGTGGTTTGCTTTCTGATTTTTCCCTCTCTCTTTCTCTCTCTGATCAAACCAGCAAATAATAATAATAAAATAATTAAGTTAAATAAAATAATTATATATATATACACACACACACATATATATATGTATATGTTGAATTAGTAAATGAGCAAGAAGAAACACACCTCCCAGGCAGAGGAATTCCAAATACCTGAAGGGAGTATACGTAACTCCCCACCCCAACTTTAAAATGATTAAGCAAAATTTACATATATGTTAGCAAATTTTCCCAATAAGAAGAATGGGAAGAGGGGAAGGTATAGCAAAAAGACCAAAACCACATGAAAATGCAAACAGTATAACAATGATTGCTTCTGAAAAGGAAGCTAGGTAGTTGAGGAGAGTCTTCTTTTTACTGTATATCCTTTAGGAATTTTTGAATTGTATACTATGTGCATGTATCCACTATGCATATAAACAAAGTTTTTAACATTAAAGAGTGGCCATCTTTTCAGCAGTGGATTTAGTTTCTACTTTCTTCATTTTAGGATTTGAAGAAAAAGACATGTTTAAAATGACTGCGGTTGGAGGATGAGGAGAAATAGTTTAATCTCTATAAATTCTATCTCAAGATTCTCCTTCCACAGAGGCCACTAACTCAAACACATCATATGATATTAAATTGAGGACCTGATTTGCAATGCCTTTCTACCCAACCATAAAAATGGCAGCCCAGGGACCAGGCGGCATAGTAAGGTTAAAGTGCTGGACTCCCACATGGCTGAACACAGTTCAAGTCCCAGACCCAGTGGCCTGAAAAAAAATCACACTATGTGTGTGTGCCTGCCTGTCTAAAATCCCGAAAGGAGAGTGGAGAAGGGATTGTGGAGTGGCCACCCCAGGGGGGTGGGGGGATAGCTCACTTTCCCTTCTCTCTGTCTCTCTCCAGTAGGTACTATGGCAAAAACCAGGAAAAAAAAAAAAAAAGGCAGGCCAGATGCCTCTGTGGGGGGGGGATTAA